AGGAGTATGTTGTGCCCAGGAAGACAGAGAAGGTTAATGAAGAGGGAAGGAAAATTGACTCTAACAATGCTGTTGATAAGACATATAAGGTGAGAATTCACCATTAGATTTAGCAATGTGGAGACTATAAATGTCTTTGAAGAGAGCAGTACATTATAAAGCCAGAGTTTGAAATAATGGAACTTATTTCCACTAAAGGAATGAATAATAGCTTTTTTAAAGAAAAATTTCTGCAAAGTCTTGTAGCACCAACTGGTAGAGAAAGTGGAGTCAAGATAATTTGGGGGGGGGTGTCTGTTTGTTTGTTTCAAGATGGTGGAAACGACAAAAGGAAATTTTGACCATATAGGAGAAGGAGGGAAGACTTACTGGAGGAAATTCCTTAAACAGGTGAGAGAAGGTGGGATCTAGTGTGCAAGTGGAGGGAGTGGCTTTCAATCAGAGTGCCTGGGCAACAGGTAGAAAAGCCAAGAGTGAGAATGCAGCTGCTGGTATGTAGAGGCTGTGGAGGGTTTCTTCCAAATACTTCCATTATTAGTGAAGGACAGAAACAAGCTCTTCAGTGGAGTTAGGAATGACATGCCTGAGGAGATGTTAGAAGAGTTGAGAAGAGAAACAATGTGATGTAGGACCTAGGAAAGTGGGAGAGTGAATGGTGAAGCATAGTATGAGGGTGGGGAGGTCTTAAGAGTATGCTGGAAATTTGTGATCATGAATTTGAATTTAGATCAGTCAGAGTGGTTGTATATTTTTCTCCAAATTCAGCCACATGGTATAGAAAAAGAAACGGTGGAAATTTGCATTTTATCAGCATTATGGTAAAAAGCAAGTGTCACAGAGTGGTGAAAGAAAAAAGAAGCAAGACAGGACTATGCAAGGCAGTAATTATAATGATAGACTTGTATTTATTTCATCTCAGTACAGCTAAGCCAAAGAGGTACTGATTAATGAATGGATCACTGTCAACTAAGGAAGATGTAATTGCATTTCATAGGCCTCCATCTCTCCCTACACCTTGAAAATTATACAATAAAAATTATATTAAGACAAACCAATTATACAGTCATGGTTATAAAAATTAAGACAAATATTTTATGAAGTATATTCTTATTCTGGAATTGATGCCATGGGTACAGCATAGAATCTTATAAAGATGTATGAGAAAACCATTCAATCCTTAAATATGAATGTATCAGGAAACACATTCAAGGATGTGGATTGGACCATGATAAAAACAATGTCTTAAGTATGTGTTTGATTGTGCACCACATGAAAAGTGGGGAACAAGATTTTGTATCAGCCCATTTTAGATACTTACATGTACTCTCATAAAGTCCAGAATTATAAAAATTAGGGCAGAGTACACTCTGAAGGCAATACTTTTCTACCCAAAGAATTTCTTCATTTTCATTTTATATATATTGCTATATTTACTTGTTGTTGTTACTATTTCTACTCTTTATTTAATAAATCTTTTTTGAACATGGCCCATAAGTAATATGATTTTCTATAAACTGTGAAAGTTATAAAAATGAATCAGTCATGGTCCCTACCTTTACAGAGCTTACAGTTCAGTGTTAAAATCAGATCTATTCACACATAGCCAAAAAACGTGAGTAAAGAGTATAGGTACAGAGAGAGAGGTTAAAAATGTAAGAAGCCATCTGAAAACAATATGGCAGTTTCTTTAAAAACCAACCATGTACTTACCATACAACCATTAATGTACTTGAGGCCATTAATCTCAGAGAAATGAACATCTGTAGTCCCCCCAAAACCTACACATCCATGTTATAGTAAGTTTTTTTATAATAGCCAAAAACTGTAAACAATTTGAATGCCCTTCAGTGGCTTAATAGATAAATAAACTGGTACCATGCAATACTCTGCAATACCATACAATACCATGCAATACTCTGCAATAGACTTCCAGCCAGTGGAGGTGTAGGTAGACACAATGTGCCTCCTTGCACAACCAAAATTAAGGACAACAAAAATTTAGAAACAATAAAACAGCCAGAACTGACAGAAAATTGAACTTTACAGAAGTCCCACAACCATTCATCCAGACTGGTAAGGGGGCAGAGTCAGTGGCCTGCAGAGAGAGGCTGAGGCAGGAAACAGTGGTGACTAGCAGACCTGGGCACGCAGGCTGCAGTTAGCAGACCCCGGGCTCAGGGTGGCAACAGGCAGACCCAGTGAGGCACTCAAGGCAGCTGGCTGACCTTGGTCACACATCCATGTGCAAATAAACCAGGCGAAAATGGGGAACGAGACAGACCATGCAACCCAGGGCCCCAGTGCCAGGAAATAAAGCCCAAACGCACCAATTAAAATCACTTGTGTGGGTTGAGATGCCAGGAGAGACTCCCAGACTCACAGGAGAATTTGCTGGAGAGACCCACAGAGTCCTAGAACTCACACAAGCCAACCCATATGGGAATCAGCACCAGAAGGACCCTGTTTGCTTGTGGGAAGCAGCAGAAGGGACTGAAATTCGAGAGAGAGCAGAGCAAGGGCTATTGTTCCTTCTCTGACCCCGCCCCCACATACAGCATCACAACCCAGCAACTGGGTTGCCCTGACCTGGTGAATACCTAAGGCTCTACTCCTCATAGGTAACAGGCGCAACCAGACCAAAAAAAAAAAAAAAATGGCTCAAATGGAAGAACAGATCAAAGTCCCAGAGCAAGTATAACTAAGCAAACAAGAGATAGCCCACCTATCACATGCACAGTTCAAACCACTTGTGATCAGGATTCTCACAGAACTGGTTGATTTTGGTTGTAAATTAGATGAAAAAATGAAGGCTACACTAAGTGAAATGAAGGAAAATGTACAGGGAACCAATAGTGATGGGATGGAAACTGGGACTCAGATCAATGGAGTGGACCACAAAGAAGAAACAAACAACCAAACAGAAAAAAATGAAGAAAGAAGAATTCAAAAAAATGAGGAGAGGCTTAGGAACCTCCAGGACATCTTTAAACACTCCAACATCCAAATGATAAGGGTACCAGAGGGGGAAGAGGAACAGCCACCAGTGGAAAACTTATTTGAACAAATAATAAAGGAGAACTTCTTCAATCTGGCAAAGGAAATAGACTTCCAGGAAGTCCAGGAAGCTCAGAGAGTTTCAAAGAAGTTGGACCCAAGGAGGAACACACCAAGGCACATCATCATTATATTAGCCAGGATTAAAATGAAGGAGAGAATTCAAGAAGCAGGAAGAGATAAGGGGAAAGTTACCTACAAAGGATTTCCCCTGACTGTCAGCTGATTTCTCAAAAGAGACTTTACAGGCAAGAAAGGAATGGAAAGTATTCCAAGTAAGGAAAGGCAAGGATCTACACCCAAGATTGCTCTATCCAGCAAAGCTTTTATTTAGAATGGAAGGGCAGATAAAGTGCTTCTCAGATAACATCAAGTTCAAGGAGTTCATCATCACCAAGCCCTTATTATATGAAATGTTAAAGGAAGATAAAAAAGATGAACAGTGAAAGGACAGCAAACTCACAGTTATTAACAACCACACCTAAAACAAAAGCAAACTAAGCAAACAACTAGAACAGGAACAGAACCACAGAAATGGAGATCACATGGAGGGTTAGCAACAGGGGAATGGGAGGAGGAGAGAGGGGGAAAAGACACAGAGAATAAGTAGCATAGACGGTAGGTAGAAAATAGACAGGGGAGAGTAAGAATAGTATGGGAAACATAGAAGGTAGAAACATGTCACGTCCTCATGACACAAGGACGTGAAGTAAAGGAGGGGAATGTAAGTGAGAGGGGGTGTGCAGAGTGGAGGGGAATTAAGGGGGAGAAATGGGACAACTATAATAGCATAATCAATAAAATATATTTTTAAAAGTACTCTAAAACAATAAAAATAATAAATTATTAACACACATACTTTGGATTGATCTCAGGGAAATTATGCTGAGTGAAAAAAGCCAACCTGCAAAGGTTATATAATCCCTGATTCCTATTATGTACCATTCTTGAATTGATAAAATGATAAAGATATAGGACAGATTAGTGATAACCAGGGGTTAGAGACGGAGGATGGAGGTAGGGAGGAAGCTAGATGGCTGTGAGTAGCATAAAGAATTGTTACGATCCAACTACTGTGTACTTGACTCTGGTGGTGGTCACGCAAATCCACATATGTGATAAAATTACATGAAACAAAATACACAGCCACAGACATAATTGCATGCTTTTTAAACTGGTGAAATCATACCAGGGTTGATATATTGTCCTAACATCAACTTCCTAGTTGTGATATTTTATTATTGCTAAGCAAGATGTTACCATTGGGGAAAATTGGTTAAAGGATACACAGCATCCCTAATGTATTGTATTTTACAGCTGTACATAAGTCGATGATTATTTGAAATTTAAAAAAAAGTTGTTTAATGGTAAGGGATTTCAGAAAAGATGTTATGTTCACTTGAGGGAGTCAAGGAAGGCTTCATGGTGGACGCATCATTTAAAATACAATAGATTTTGATGTAGTAATTACTCTATGGTTAGTAAGGTTGTCTTTAAAAGTTGAAATGAAAAATTATAATGACAGAGAAAAACTTGACAATATGTTTTGGAATTATCCTAATAATTTTTTTTTAGAATCAGAATTAAACAAGAAAACAGCCCATTCTCTGCATCTAATTATTTCTGCATTCCAAAAATATTTATTCATCCTACTATGATCAAGTACCAATTATTCAAAACAAGACCGTAGTTTCATTACAAGAACAATTACAATAACACCATTTCTTGAGCACCTACTATATTCCAAAGTCAACCATTCGATGTAAAATGCTGAGTGTTTGGATAAGTAGTTTAAGTCACACAGTGTAAAATCTGACATAACTGCTTAAAATCAATGTATAAAAAATGATAATGCTATGTTTTCTAAATAACACAAAAATAAAAGAGCAGTTCAACAACATTTATTGAAAGACTGTTGAAAGTACAGAGCACTTCACTAGGCCACGTGGGAAGAGAGATAGAAGAGAAATCACCAGCCGTTTTGTGCAATTAGTAAATATTATTTTGATCATGACAACTTTCTCCAATTAATAGGTTAAAACATACATTTCCAAGTTATCATTTAAAAAATATACTATATTACTACCTATTACTCTATGCACATTGTTTGAAATATTGCTTATATTTTCACAGTAACTCAACCTGTGTTTCTCATATCCTTTGAAAATATAAAAATATTTCTCTAAGAAATATAATGCCATTGTGAAATCAAACTTCTAAAATTGATCAATTTAAATTTCCTCAAGTTAGTTTGCAGAGGAAATTCTTCGCGTCACTGTCAATTTTATTTTAGCTTGGAAAATCACCTCTAGAAATTGTAAAATAGTAACCATGATTCCATTATACATGGATTTATTTTTAAATGCGTTTCCATAAATTATATTCTTTGGGTTTTACAAGACTCTCACACAGAATTTCTGCTGGTTTTCATGATTACTTAAAGCTAGTGGACACCACGCTTCCCTAAATCTTTCGGCAGCCCGCGGGTGCCACCTACAGGCCAGACTTCAGAATATACTGAAATAAGGAGAATCGATTTCTTAATGGAACACTGAGAGTAATTTAGTTTAAAATATACTTAAATCTTAGTTTAAAATGTACCACTTCCCTCGGTTTTCTTACTTCTCAACATATTTTATTACGTGAAACAAAAATAGTTTCTGTAAAATATTTAGCACTATCAATTCATGTCAGTTTTCATATTTTAGTCAAATGCTTAAACGTTATCAGCTCACCATCCCAATGTTATTTGGGTCAATTAAGGTCAAATATTCTTGATAAGGTTAATTTCATACTGGATGCGGTACAACACAGAGCTATGTAAGCAGCTGTGTACAACGAGGGGCGTAATGAAAGATCCAGCGAACTCTCACCATTGACATGACGTTTACCTTGGCACCAGCCCCAACCTCCTAAGGGCCTAGACCACTTGAATGTTGTGTCTCTAACAGTTCAACAGTAACTCACCAAGACTGAAGTTATGATAACTAGGTGTTTATTTTTCCACTTTGTATCCAGGCAGTTAGCAATTCAATGTCATTCGAGATGCAGAGTCAGCTTCCAGAATACCTTCCCTATATCGTCCCATCTGAACCCAGATAAGCCCATGGTGCAAGCATGGAATGGAAACACAGTAGTGGGGAAGACGGTCTGCAATTATTTCAAAGTGTTGGAAATGAAGCTCCAGAAATAAATGTGGGGAAGAGCTCTAGCTTAATTTCGTGACCATAACTACATACTAACATCTGGACTTTATTCCCATTCAAGACCTTGCAGGGTGGGAAGGCTTCAAATACAAATACACAAGCACTTGGTGATAATCCCAGTTCATTGACTGTTTTGAACTAACTGATTCTCTCTTCATTCCTTCCCATTCAACTACACAAAAATCTTACCACATATGTTATGCTGGTCATTCTTAAATACATTTTTATTTTAGCCTCAGATTTTTAAAGAATTTGCAATGAATAAATTAGTGATATTTCCCCATCTTTTTCTGCTTCATGGACTATCATAAAACATCAAGAAAATGAGAGGTTTATCATTTTTATTATATATTAACATCCTCAGCAGTGCAATGTTAAATAAATATTACTTGCTTTATATATAGTTTGTATAATTATTCTTGGTCACAAGGAAACAGAATATTCCCCACATTTATATCTGTGGTTGTTTGACTGAAATGGGAGGAAAAGCTACAACTTGTTTCTGTCCGTAGTTCCCATTCTTTGTTCATCATGAAGTGTTCAGAATTCTGTCCCTGATTGACCTTTCAAAATGAATATGATAATTTTTCTTATTCTCTTCAGAAAAAAAATATTTTTCTGTAAATAAAAATGTGGTAGTGGGGGTTTTTTTGTATTTTCTTTTATTCTTTGTCCTGCCTTCAAGGTGGAATTTTAATAAGACAGAAGCTGGGGAAATGAAGAAAGAAACCACTTCAAATTATATCTATGCATGAGAAACTTATATCAACAAGGCATAAGTGACAGAAAACTTCTAGTAAATAAATGAATGCAAGTTGAGACAGTCCATCTGGAAGAAGCAGGAGGCTTACATGTGGAGCAGAGCTAGGAAGGAAATTATGCATCAAGCAGACAATTTCATTTTTTTGTCAGATTGAGGTGACCTACTGGCTGCTTCTGCAATTCTGCATCTCTAATAATGACCTATAAACAAAAATACATTCTCCTCTACTAGGTTGTTTTCTCTTAGACACCAGTTTTGGAAGCGATCCAGTCCCGTAAGGCAGTCACTCTAGTGTAAACACCAGGCTTATTGGGTTGCCCACATTCATCTCCCCAGCTCACTATTCCAGCAAGGTACCAAATATCTCTAGCATCTGGACTAACCAGTGGTCCTCCAGAGTCACCCTAAAGGAGAAGAAAGAGATTAGTAATTAATAATTTATTCATTACAGAGATATTTGCTATTTTTATTTTCACTTGAGTTTAATAAAAGAGTGGGTTTTCACAAGTTTTCACTGTGTGCAAATGCACAAGTGATACCCTCTAAGTCATAAATCACATAAAGGAGGAGCTTCACCACCTGGAGAATTGTCTTAGCCTCATGGCTCAATATGCTGAGATTAAAGGCTCAATCTCTTGGGAGAACAGTATTTTTAATCTGTCTAGTACATCTGACAAAGTACTTACCATACTGGTTGCCTCTTTATCAAGGTCATGTAGCTCCCAAAAGAAGGGTGATGAGTCTGTTACTGATAAGGAGCAGGAACATGAGAGTCAAATGTGTGGGTTTATATCTCAAGTCTGGCCCTTTCCAACTGGCTAAGATCTTTAATTTATTTATTTGAAATGCTCCTAATAATACCCACCTCTGATGATTATTTTGACGATTGTATAAATGAGTGTGTAAAGTGCCTAGCATAGATCTTGGAACAAAGCAGAACTTTGAAAACTCATATACAAAACTGTAAACTAACTGTCTCTATCTTGTGGACTCCAGAGGGCCATTTCCTTACTCAGGTCGCACAAACAAGGTGCTGGCTAATCATTCTTGAAATTCCTGGGATCTCGAGTCATTGACCACCCATCGAGTGTTCAGGTTTCTATGAAGCTCTTAATCAATTAATATATTATTTCATTAATACCTATAATTCTGGCAACAAAACCTGAGGTTGGGTTTCATTTTGTCCATTTTAGCAGTAAGGAAACTGACACTCATAAAAATTAAGTAGTTTGCCTGATGCCACATACTGGCGACAGAACTTGAATTTGAATCTAGAAGCTCATGTTTTTCCCCTCGACATTTTACTAACTTCCTTGCAAATTTTCTTTTGTCCATGTAAAAATATTAACGATACTCATAATAGCTGAATTTTAAACAATATGTTTGTAATTTTAAAACAATTACCAATAAGTGTTGACTGATGCCTTCATCTGTGGAAGGATGAGACACAGAAAGATTGGACATGTGGGGGCCTTGCCCTCAAGGGGCCTATAATCTATTTATAGAAATAGCATGTACCATATGATGCTATTAAAAAATAAACCATTTTAGCCCTGGCTGGTGTAGCTCAGTGGATTGAGTGCGGGCCTGCGAACCACACGATCGCGGTTCGATTCCCAGTCAGGGTACATGCCTAGGTTGCAGGCCAGTTCCCAGCAGGGGACTCATGAGAGGCAACCACACATTGATGTTTCTCTCCTTCTCTACTTCCCTTCCTCTCTAAAGATAAATAAATAAAATAAAGTAAAAAATAAAATAAAAAATAAACCATTTTGATCATTGGAACCAAAGTTATGTGAAGGTAGAGCAGAGTAGTAGTAGATGTTTCCTCATCTACTGAGGAAACAATAGATGTCAGAGACAATAAAGTTTAAATCTAAGAGATGAGAATGAAGAAGTCTGAGAACAAAGTAATCAAAGAAAAAGTGTGGCAGTGTATCCAACAGCATTACAAGATGAAAAATAAGGTGATGTCCAGCAAGTATCAAGTAGGGAAAGCTACAGCCTGTTCTGCCAACATCAGTGATGGATATGATGGTTTATGTGTGTTCCATGTTTCATCTCATGCAGGGAAGCCAGAATAATGGAGGAAAACTATAATCTTCAGGAGAAAAGAAAAGGCAATCAACTCAGTTATCCAGAGGCAGAAGCTTCTGGGGCTCTATCTCAACAAAATGTTTAAAAAGTACCTATGCCTAGTCCTACCCCCCGCTCATGTAAACATACATACACACACAGGCACACACCAGCCTTGCTTAATTCCTAGATCTTGGCAGTTTGCACTTTCTCCCCTGCTCAGGACGGCATCTCCATGTGCATTGTCTCAGCCCCAGCAAGCCACTGTTTCCACTCATTGTTTTTGTGCATTTTTAACATCCCCTAAATCAGCCACCAGACACCCTGGGCATTCTGCCTGCCTACACTGTTCAAGTTATTTTTCAAAGTACAATTATTTGTTGTTAATTTTCTGATTACAAAGTTGCATAGCTTTTGCAGTCTGTTGATCTGTTTCTAACACTATTTATTCCATAAATCCTATTACTTTTAGTGAATCACTTAGTGAGAAATGGAATAGGAAGTTTATTCAGGAATGCACAAAACAAGAAACTTTTGACATCAGAAGAGGCCAAACCAGGAAGCAACTTTAGAGATCAAGATATGAAGGAATCAATTGAGGTGTTAACAAAAGGAATGCAGGCAAAAGGGATAAATCTGGAAGATATGATAAAGAGGGAAGATATTCTAGGACTTGATCAAGTTCATCTGAAGAAGATAGAAAAGACCCCAATAATAAGAAACCCAATGATATGAATAAGAAGCTTGAAAATGGAAATTCTAGTTAACATTTCATGATGCCTGTTGAGTTTGTGGTCACACAAACACAAATGTTCATCTGACGTTAACAACTTAAAACATAAATGAAAATAGCTTGGGAGTAGATGGAAATATGAGACTAGGTTTGGGCAAAAGGTTAATTCTGGACATGTAGATTTGGAAGCCAGTAAAGTGACACCATGTTTAAAAATAGATGGCTTCTTTGAGAGAATACATAGAGAGCAGAGAAAAATTTCACCTGAGACCTGAGTCTTGAGGGATAGCCAGACTTAGAGAGAGGTGAGAAAGAAGAAACTAGAATTGGATGCTGTGGCAGGGGGTGGGGTAAGGGTGAGTATATTTCAGAATCATAGAACCCTATGAAGGATCGTATTCTAATAGGTGAATATCACTGAGCTGGGAAAGAGTAGGAGATCCAGGTAAAGATTTTTGCATCTGGGGTTATTGATAATTTTTGAGATATTAAAATATAGGGAGCAGGTCAAGTTCCAAAATTGTGGATGCTGGACATAAAAGAAAAAAAAATGGCTGCTAAATTTCTCCAAAGATAGAAAAGTAGGGCATTATGATTACAGGTATAAACTTGGTTCCTTGTCTTTAATTTCCCAAATCTATAAAGAACATTCACTTTTAACACCGTCATCAAAATGGCATTGTAGAATATGAGATGTATTTTCAGATGAAACTATATGATATCTGTGATTTATTTCAAAATAGATCTAGAATTTCATCATAGAGGGGTGGTTTGAGGGCAATGTGTTAGGAAACACAGATGGGCCTCATGAGTGGAATAAGATGAAATAAGATTGGCCGTGAGTGGAAAACTGTTGAAGTTAGGTGATGAGTACATGGGGTTTGCTATAATGTTGTCTACATTTACATCCATTTGTAATTTCTGTAATGAAATTTTGAAAATAAAAGACTAAAGAAGCATACAGCTGTTCCCCTGAAACTTTGAAGAAGAAGTTAGTATAAATAGAGGCTGAGGTATTTGAAGGATGATCACAAATGATAATGACAAGTGTGAAAGCACAAGATGTTTTCAATAGTTTTAGTAAAATTGGAGGCAAGTAGGATGAGGAGAATTAAGATGAGACAAAATCTAAATAATATCCTAACAATGATTATAGATCTGTTTTTATGTTTATCAAAAAGTCAAATAAAATATAGTTGAGTCTCATTATTCACAGTAGTTATGTTCTATGAAGTTGCTGCTTACACTGAATTAGTGAATAATAAATCATCACTACTCCTATAGAATTAGGTTTCCATGAACATTTGGTTAGATTTTTATCAATTGATCAATACATAACCATATCTTCTGTGTGTTTCTATTTCAAGTCACCTTTTTTAACATGTATTATTGATTCATTAACATCAAACCCATAGCCAACAGCACTGTAATTCATGCCTGAATGAAATTTTTCTAACATACATATTTTCTCCACAAGGCATGTTGCAGCCTTCTTGCACTTTGCTTCAGAACTATACATATGGTTACTATTTTAAATAACAAAATCACCAACAAAAAGCACAAAAATGTGGAAAATGTAGCATTAAATAAACCACATAAAGAGATAGGTTAATGGTATTAAAGTTAAACAAGAGGGCAACCTCACCTTTTGTGACCTGAGGTGGGCGTGGGTTCATTGGGTAACAAATTTTTTGCCACTCTGCTCACATTCATGAATGATCATGAAAGCGCCTTGAGTATTGACTTTGGCTTTTCAAACAAATCTTAGCAAGTACATAAATTTACATATAGGAAATCTGCAAATAATGAGGATCAAGTATATTTTCCAATGGATCTTTTATTAAGTTGCTTTTATTTTAGTAGGTTTATTTATAGAATCAAATTAAATTTCCTGTAAAATTTTGTGCTGGACTCAATCTACATTGTTTCATGTCTTCCTTTAGGAACAAACAGAGCCTCAGAGCAGAAAAAAGAATCACAATGTAACGAGTTTAATCTTGAGCACTTGCCAGTGGTGTGCAGAAAGGTCAACTGGGCGAAAGAGTTTAATACAACCAACTGAACAACACTAACGTGACTGGTCCAGAGGTAAAAGTTGGGGAAGGCCTATGGTGAAGTCAGCTGTGCATTAAGGGAAGTGAAGCCAATGAAGGGAAATAACAGGTGCAGTATGTGTGTGAGAGAGAGGAGAAAAATGGAAAGTTACAAAAATAAGAGTATCAAAAATTCATTATACCCACTCTTTGAATCCAGACCGCAAAGCACATTTAATAGCATGGAACTTCAGAGACCACTATGAGGGTTAGAGAGCACATTGAACATAAGGTCTGTTTAATCACAAAATAAAAATTATAAGGGTATTTAAAGACATACCCAAAGAATTAGTTATTGATCCCCTCAAGATTTGATCAGCAATGTGCATGAAGACATAGAGTTCCTAGTTGTCACATCGGGCAAAGGTACAAAGTCAACAGTGATAGCCCAGGTGACGAAAAGCAAAATCAGAATTCAAAAGGGTGTCTATTCTGTGAACCAAGATGGAATATACCTGTTCCCTTTACCCAAACTAAATCCATCTAAAAACTATAAAACTTTGCATACTAGAAATAAAACAAATGTAAAAAGTTTCTGAAAGATAGAGTGAAGAAGGCAGATAAACTAAAATGCAGGACTCAGGCAATGGCATTGAGGTGGGCTCCCTGAACCTTGGATCATTTTTTTCCCGTTTCACTTATCCTAGGCACAGAGCTAAAGAAACCAGCAACCTGGCAACCTGACAAGAGGTGAAAGTAAAAAAAACAAAAAAAACAACAAAAAAAAACTCTAAAGAAAAGCTTTCTTTCTCTAGAGATTTAAAAAAAAAAAAAAACCAGAAAGGGAGCAACCTAGGAAGACAAAATATCTCTTAGACAATATTCTCTCTACCCCAGCCAAACACAGAAAAACACTGTGGCCCCTTTCCAACCCGCATCAGTACTGGCCAAGTGGGGAGCTTAAATTCCACCCTTACCAGGCTGTCTTAAGGTTTAATCCCTCACCAGACTGGGGTTAAAGGAGGCTCAGTGGGGAGCCAGACTATCATCCATGCCAGGTGACAACAAAGGCCTCCTCTATCTCCCTTGCGGTTGACTAGCTGGGGAGCATGGACGACAGCCTAGGGGTAACGAGGCATAACTATTTTCCAGCAAAATGTCAGAGGAGACCTAGCAGACAGTCAGGGCTCTACAAGTACCAAAGAGTAATGAGGCTACTATCCCATGATGTCAGTGGAGGCCAGAAGACGAACAGGAACTGGGTCCTCCAGCCAGTGTGGGATCGGGGGAGGCCTACTGGGGAGCCTGAAATTCCACTACCACCCAGCAGTGGATGGTGTCAAGACAAAATCAGTGGGGAATGAGGCAGCTCCTCTCTCCCCTCTCCAGTGTCATATCAGAAGAGGCTTGCTAAAATAGAAGATTTAATAAGATCCAGAGTCTCATAACAATACTCAAAATGTCAGGGATGCATTTGAACATCACTCTCATACCAAGAACCAAGAAAATCTCAAATGAGAGGAGGCAATCACAAATGCCGACCCTGAGATGGCACCGATGTCAGAATTATCTGACAAAGATTTTAAAGCAGCTGTCCCAAAAATGTCTTCATAAGCAGTTACCACATGCTTGAAACAAGTTTTTTTAAATCTTCAGCAAAGAATAGCGAATATAAAAAAGGATCAAATGGAAATTTTTGAACTAAAAAATAAAATGATCAAAATAAAAACTTAGAAAACTCAGTGGAGCCTTGACCAGCATAACTCAGTGGGTTAGACACTGTCCTGCAAAGCGAAAGGTCACTGGTTTGATTCCCATTCCGGGCACCTGCCTGGGTTGCGGGCCAGGTCCCTGGTTGGGGGTGTGGGAGAAGCAACTGATAGATGTCTCTCTCACACATCGTTATTTCTTTCTCCATCTCTCTCCCTTCCCCTCTCTTTAAAAATAAATAAAATCTTTAAAAAACCCACTTGGGGGGCTTAACAGAAGAATGGAGATGACAGAATAAAAAATCAGTGAACTTGAAGATAAAATGATAAAACTACTCAACCCAAACAAGAGAGAGAAACAGAATGAAAAAATAAAAACAAAAGCAAAATAACAGATGCTCAGGGACCTCTGAGACTCTAACAAAAGAATTAACATTCTTGCCATTAGAGTCCCTGAAGAACATAGAAAAGAGAGGGTGGGGCTAATAAGTATTCAGAGAAATAATAGCTGGAAATTTCCCAAATTTGTCAAGGGGCATCAACCTGCAGGTTAAAGAGTTGATCAAACCCCACAATGGCTAACCCAGAGAAATTCATGCCAAGGTACACAGTGAAACTCCTGAAAACTAAAGACAAAAAAAAAAATCTTGAATACGGTAAGTGAAAAACAACACCTCACCTATAAGGAAAAATAATTCTAGTATCAGCAGGTTCTTCATTAGAAATCAAGAAGGCCGTGATTTATGTGCTGAAAGAAATGAGGTGTCAATCCCAAAATCTGCATCTAGCAAAATTACACTTCAGTAATTAATGGGAGGTTAAGTAGTTTATTAAGTATAGCCAAACAAAGAAAATCTAAGGGAATTTGTCACCAGCAGATCTGCACTAAAAGAATAGCTAAAGGAAGTTTCTGAAACAGAAAAGAAATGATAAAAAAAGAATCTTGAAAAACTAAGAAAAGAAGAATGAAAATATTGGTAATAAAGTTTCATTTTCTTGAGTTTTCTGTTGTTTTGGCACTTGAAGCAGAAATATTGTCAGATGTAGTTCCTAATATATGTAGGGGAAGTACTTAGTAATATTTAATATTATAAATGGGGAAGAGTTGAGAGATTTGAGGGGACATTAAGTTTAACTGTTTTACATTTCATTCAAACTAGTAGAATCTGACCACTCATAGACTGTGATAAATTATACATATGTAACTTGGAAAAACCACAAAGTGTTTTTTTACAAAGAGATGGTCTAGTCAAAAATGCAATTCTTTTTAAAAGTTACTGTATAATTCTACTTACATAACACTCAAAATTACAAAATTACTGAGATAGAGAACAGATCAGTGATTGCCAGGTGTTAGTGATGGGAGAGGAAAGTGGGTGTTTCTATACAGGGAGGTCTTTGTGGTGTTACAATAGTTCTCAAATGCAGTGGCAGTTCCACAAATCTACACATGTGACAAAATGCTGTAGAACTAGAAACACACATTGTACCAATGTCATCCCCTAGCTTTTATATTGTACTATAGTTATGTGTGAGGTAACTTTTGGGGGACATCGGGTGAAGGGTACGTGAGACTCTTCTGTACTATCTTTGCAACTTTCTGTAAATCTATTATTATTATTTAAAAATATAAGATGAACAAAAAGTTATGCATCATATTAGTAAGCAAACCACTTACCTGGCATGCATCTTTTTTTCCTTGCAAGGAGCCAGCACATAGCATTCTAGGAGTTATGGAGTTATCGTAAACTTGAGGTTCATTGCAGGTTTTAGTGTCTATAAGTTTCACCTGCACTTGCCGAAGGTGATTTTGACTGTTACCTAAGGGAACAAAATTGTCTTTATATTTGTTTATATACATATATTTTATAGACCTATAAATAATTATGAAAGCCTTTGATTAATATTGGACAAGATGCTCATATAGAAACTTTGAAAATGCATTTTTTTAGATACAGTAATATTTGGGGAAAGAATGCTTTTCTATTTTATTTTATTTTTATTTTCCTTTTTTACTTAATATTTATTGAATTTTTCCCATTACCATTTAGTCACCTTATACCCACCACCCCCAGCAATCACCACACTGTTGTCCATGTCCATGAGTCTTTTTTCCTTTTTGCTCACTCCCCCCACCTTCTAACTGCTCCCCCCACTGGCTGTCAGCCTGCTCTCCATCTATGAGCCTTATTTTTTAAATCTTCAATTCCCTAGTAAGAAGTTCAGACATGTTTACTTTTTCACACATTACCGAGCACTATCGTATGTTGGTAGTGATGCACTTGATAGGAACCTAGGGCCTGAAGGAATTTATGTACCTTCTAAATGACATAGTCCACAAGCAGGGCCTGACTTGCCCCAGATCCATATGATCAACCCACTAACATATTTTTTAACTCTTTTTTATCATTGCTCAAGTACAGTTGTCTCCATTTTTTCCCCACCACTCTGCCCTACCCCAGCCATCCCCACTTCCCCCCACTGATCCTACTTCCCTTTGGTTTTGTCCACATGTCCTATATAGATGTTCCTGAAAACCCTTCCCCCCTTTTCCCCCATTATCTCACCTCCCTTCTGGTTACTGTCAGCCACTGACATATTTTGGCATTAGGTCACCCACTGACACATTATGCCATTTAAATGCCTTAGAATACTAACTTAGATTACTATGATGTGAGTTTTTCTTCAGATTCTCACCATCATTTTGTAGTGCTCCAAACCCAGTCACAAACATCTCATCACCTGGCTGGAAATTATAAGATGCATCAGGGAGACAAACTCTATGTACCACATTTGTGTAGGGAACAGGGCTGGAAAGCTCTGCAACTGAAATATCATAGTCATGTGATGGATATTTGTATTTTTCATGGACAATTATCCTCCGGATGCCATGTTTCATTTTAGGAGGATATATTGTCACTCCAAAGGAGGCAGTCCACCTGGCTGGGTCCTTATACCTGGGGAGAAAGATACGGAGAATGAACTCCTTTTTCCCATGCTACCGATATAATGATTTCCATGATATAATTTAATTTGTCAGTATGAGTTTTCTTTTCAAAATTACAGTTTCTATGTATAGAAACAAACTTCTGCAATCTGAGAATCTGTCTCATGGGTCAGATCAGGTACAAATGACATAATGACATGTTTCTCGGTATGTACATGCTGATTTGCATGCATTCTACACCCTAAGGCCTTTTGACATTTCTGGGCATTGGTAACTCCAAGGGACATAGAAAAAGAACATCCTGTACAGAATGGGAGAACCAGATGCATTCTATGTGCACCATGTCACCTACCCTGCAAACATACACATTTCTCTGAAAACTGAAGAGGCTACACAATAATTTAACAAAGCATTACTATCCTGTATACTGTAGGTATTTTACACTGGATTGAAAGGTTTTTATTCCTTGGAATATAACTAGCCAGCTTATTCAGCTGTATAATTTGTTACTACAAGATTTCCTCACATTTAATTCTTATCATAGGGAATTTCCCCATTAGGTCAAAGCTAAAACCCACTCCATTTCTGATGGATACACAGCAGAGACACTGTGGCTCTTCTCTTCCATATCAAGCTTGAAGTCCAAAGATAATTTAAAATTTCTGCTTCCTTTGACAAATTATTGTGTATTTTTTCCCAATGGGTAATTTCCCTACATATACTTTGATGCCATTTCCATTTCCAGATTGTTAAACTTCTTACTAGGTGTATGAGTTTCCTACTTTCTTTGTGGCTATACCACAATATATTATTAAACTCATCTCTCTCAAACTTCATAAGGTACTTTCTTCTTGCCAAGCCCCAGTGCGCTCTGCTCATCCCAATCCCTCAGGAGGCTCAGGACTTACATTCTAAAGCAGTGAGCAGCGCTCACAAGCCACGTGCTGTTGATTAAAGTTGCTCCACAGCGGTGGATCCCATCCCATTGCAGGCTAGCTTGCCACGGCCATTCGCCCTCTTCCACCTGTGTCCCACCAACAATCCTGACACTCTGTTTTGTAGTTTTATTCCTTCGAGTCCCACAACCTGCCAGAGAGAGATGACATATTAGTTAGCAGTTGTTTTTAACTTTCAAATTGTGTTACTATGTTCCAAATTTCTCATGCTGTTTGATTTTTACATTTCCTTAAACTATTGTTTCATTATTTAACTTCTACTAATGTTGTAGGATTTAAATCAGTCATTACCTCCTTTAGGATGGCTTCTCTAAAAATGTCTCATAGTCAAACTGGATTAATTATGACTTTCTTTAATGCTCCCATTTAAAAAAGCAATAATACTCTATATACAGTGTATGCATATACCATATTTTGCCATGTATAATGTGTACTTTTTTGCCCAAATTTGTGAGGGAAAAATAAGGGTGCACATTATATATATGTAGTACCTGAAATACCTTGTATCTGTTCTTGTGTTTTGTAGGTATTTGTTACATAAAATTTCTTGCATCATAATATGTTCAAATGTTTTTAGCCCTAAAAGGGCTAAAAATGTGGGTGAGCATTATACATGACAAAATATGGTTCTTTCTCTGTAATATCATATATATATGTATATATATATATACATACACAGTGTGTATATATATGTGTATATATACACATACATATATATACACACACATACTAGGTCTGGAGCCAGTCTTTTAAAAATACAAGTAAGGATATTATCTGGACCTTTGGTAATTTCATCAATATATACTCCAACCTCATAACTGCATATATATATGTGTATATATATATATGTATATATATATGAAATGTTTATTACAGGGTTTCTCCACCTTGGAAGTATTAACATTTTGAAATGAATTGTTCTTAGTTGTGAGGGTGGTTGTCCTGTGTGTCATAGGATGTTTAGAAGGATCCCTGGCCTATACATAGGAGATACCACACACAATCATGATAACCGAAAATGCCACCATGGGGCATAATCTTCTGGGGGTTAAAATTGCCCTTGTTTGAGAACTATTGTTTTAAAATGATGTGTTCATGCACTAGTCCCTATATATAAAGTTCCCATTAAAGTAAGAGCTTCTTTAGGCAGGGAGTACTTCCATCTTTGATATTCCTATCACCTAACACAGAACTGGCACATAGTAAGTTTCCAATAAAACTGGTGGCAAGATCTGTGCCATTTAGGCAATGAGATTATCTTTTGGCCTCCTTAAATTTATGAATGAACCAACATTCTGAGTTTGCAAGTAGCATATTTCCTACCTTCTTTTAAAATAAATCCATTCTGCACTAGTTCTGTAACTGTCAGATGTATTCTCTAAATCCTGTGGAATGTTCTGCTGTAGGGAAAGGGAAATACTAGATCTAGAGCCAGTCTTTTAAAATACAGGTAAAGATATTAACTGGACCTTTGGTAATTTCATCATATGCTCCAACCCCATAGTTGCCTGTGACTGTCACAATATGGAATTAATAACATCAAGAAGATGTTATTTAGTGTAGAGTAACAAGTTTCTTCCTCTAGCTGAAAAATGCCAACATACAGATGACTTTTCTACAAACTTAAAAAAAAACTTTTGTGCTAGTATATTATAGACAGCTTCAATAAGAAGTATTTTTGCCTCTTCTTTAACACCTGCACACCTCACTTCCAGCACACATCTGCCACAAGCACCCCTGCATCCACTCCAAAACTCTCCCAATTTTTTTATTCTTTAGTAATAAAATGTGTCTCAGAGATAAGGTAAAGCACCATCTGTACACAGAACAATCCAACTTTGGTCCCACCCTTAACACCACATAAAGTAAGCCTAAACTACTTAGTGTCAACTTTTTATGTTCAAATCATACAATTTTAATAAATATATTAAACTTACAATTGTTCAGAAAGTTGTCTGTTTCTGTCTTGTTGATTTCTAAAATACACAGAAATGGTGAACAGGGTCAGTATATCAGAATTGCATAATACCTCTGAATAGTTCAAATACTAAAGGCTGCTTAATTCCATTTCAAGATAGCATATCTCTAGGTTGTAAAGAAAGTAACACAGTTATTTTATCATAGACATACTATGTTCATCACCTTGGGGAAAAGAGACATCTGAAGAGTGTTTCTTTTTTTAAGATTTTAGAGAGAGGGAAAGGGAGGGAGAAAGAGGGAGAAAAACATCAATGTGAGGAAAAAGCATTGGGTTCCAAACCTGCAACATAGGCCTGTGCCCTGGTGGGGAATCGAACCAACAGGCTTTCCTTTTGTGGAAAGATGGTCAACCAACTGAGCCACAGGGCTGAACTGTGTCTTAGAAACTTTAGTGTAGGTAAGAGTCACATAGGGAGCCCCTTCCTGATGTAAATTCCTATTTCTCTTCTCAGTAATTCTGACTCAGTTATTTTGAGTTAAAGCTCAGGCATGTGAGTTTTATATAAGGAAGTAAGAGTTAGGTGGACCACAGTCCCTTTGGGGAAAATAATAGTCTGAACTACTGTATTGATTGCCCAAATGTACTGATATTTTTATTGACCATTATTTCAGATTATTTTACTGAAGTCACAGGCATAGTCCCATTTGTTTAACACCCCAGTGGCATCTCCATAAATTAGTTCTCACTCCCATTTAAAACCAATGTTATTGCTTTATAAGTCTTCCTTCTGCTAAAGTTTTAGCAACACAATTTGCCTTCACATCTAGCCAATGGCTCCGTAGCTTGTTGATTCCTGAATAATCAGGCCCTAACCTATGCGAACTCTAAGCACTCAAATATCCTGACTCAGCAGATTTCCAATGACCAAAATTATTCTCTCTGAACATGGCAGAATGGGAGTTCTAAATGCAAAAATCCTAATGTTAATTTTTCTTTTAGTATTTAATAGTATTGATTTACTAGAAATATGTATTCTAGAAAGGATTCTTTCTGACTTTATTCTGGCTATTTGGGGAGAAATGGCAAAATAAAAAAATGACATTTTTTCTCAGTAAATTCTTTCTAGGGAAAATTCTGGCTTGGCATGCTGGCACCACCGAGAGGGCTGGCCTCACAGATGTGTAACCTGTGTGTCTGCACTGGATCCTGTGCTCAGCATGGTCTTGCACTTAGTTTAATGCTTCCTGTCTTGAAATTATTAATAATTCTATCTCATACTTTGTGTTTTGAAAGTCAAATCCAATAGGACAATGGAGCATGTCATGAATAGAGGACATACGTATAACATATATATCCACAGGCTACTGCTACCCATTTAAATCTCTACCAGTCACAATACCCTATGAACTCAGGATTCTGGTGAATGCACCATGTTCAACAAACTGCAAAATAAATATGTGATGTTTACCACTGAGGAAGCAGAGGGCAGTGATAGCCCCAAGAAGCCATGTTTTTTGTTTGAACCAGAACTTGCTTAAAATGTAGAAAGAAGGCAATGATATTCTAATAGACATGAACAACCAAGGGGCCCTATAATACTGTTTCTTGCTGTCATTTTTCTTGGTATTAGCCAACAGTTTCTGCTGGAAATAATAATATAGAAGGAACTTTTGGTCCATCCTCACTTACAGTGAAGGTAGAGAGCATGCTTAAAATGTTCATGTGTCAACAAAAATTTTTTTTAAGTCATGCAAGCCTTGTGTAGTGTTTTCATTGATCTGGTAAATACCAAAATACATGTATGTATGAGCTATGAAATATAGTTGTATAATTTTTGTGATTCTATGTAGAAGTTAAATGCTTTTATATTTATATTTAGAATTGACATTTCACAATATAAAGGTGGACAGTAAAACTCATGCTAGCAATTTTAATTTTTTCACTTTGAATGACATTAACAAAAATATTATTACAAATGAAGAACACTGTGAAAGAAAAAAGTCTTATATTTTATTACTTTTAACAACCATTTTTAATTGGGTCTTGAAGAGTCCAACATTTTTACTTTCACTGGGCCCCACAAATTGTGTGGCTAACCCTGACCAGTGAAGCCTCCCTTTCTAAGTAAGTAAGATAGCTGACCATCAGGTTAAGCTTTGAGTTAAGTTTACCAGATTTCTACCTGTCCCCTATTGTCTCATTTCTAGCATTGCCAATTCCCATGTTGTACCACTAAGCCACATGTGCCTAGTGAGCTCATTAAATGTGGCTTATCTAAATTGAAGTGTATTATAAATATAAAGTATACACTAGATCTCAAAGCCTCAGTACAAAAAAATATATGAAAAATAGCTCAAATAATTATTACAAGACTACTTGTTGAAATAATACTTTAGATACATTGGATTAAATACATAGAATATTTAAATGAATTTTGAATGTTTACTTTTTTTAATGGCTACTAGAAATTTTAAGATTGTACATTTGGCCTCCATATTTGTATAGACCAGCATTGTTCCTGGAATAAGATTTAGACTTCACCCGACTTCTATTTCTACTGAGTATCTCTTCTGTTTCTTACTTCATGATAATGAGGGCCTATCACTGCTTGTTTGTTCACCCCATCCCCACAAAAACAAGTAAAAAAAAACCTTCCAGAAATTTTATATTAATTGTAAAATATACCAAAAACACATAAAAATAAATCATAAGTTTTTCATTGGTTAATGTTCTATGGGAAGAAACTATAACAAAGTATATCGATGATATTTGAAGGCAATATATGGATAGCATAAAACTGTTCATACACATATCACACTCTCAGGACATAAAATATATAAAATACAATAACAAGAAAAAAAGGGGAATAGATATGCAAACTCATTTTCCCTTTGATTACTGGATTCTATAGCTAAAATATAAGGCTCGATGTAGAAAGAAACCCAAGTGGGACTTAATGACAGACTTGCATGCAAGGCATAAGTTTTGGGTAGTATTAAAAATTAAAATACTTTAAATTTTAATGAGGACCAATTTGGTGCCAAATAAATTTTTTAAATTTACTCCTTCTGCTAGGGGTAAGACCCCATAATTATAGACATCTAAAGTAGTTTTTTAAAAATCATTGCCCAAGACCAAACTTAACATGGAGCTATTGAATGTGAGAGAATTAAACTAAATAAGAAAAATAAACTTACTTTTTATTTCAACGGATTCAGGATCTAATTCAGGAGGCCCTACAGCATCATGCAGCTTTTTGTGTAGAACATATTGAACAATATTATTTATGGTTTCAGGATCCTCAGTAGAGGGAAATCTAAAAATCAGCAGCATATGAGCCAACACTCCATTTTCCTCTTTACTGTGAACCAGAAAAGAAATTGAAAAGTTGGTTTTAAAAGAAATAGTTCAGAATTAAATTTATGATAATATCACAATGTATTTTTCTTGATCATTCATTTGAAATACACACAAAAGCAAATCCATCGATATAATTATAAAGGTCTAATTTGTCTTCTTCTATATTTCTGTTGTTTACCACATATAGACCTTTCAGCTCAGCCTTCTCAACAGTAAGCTGGAATGTTCATAGTCTCTTACCACCAAATGATCCGGTTAACTATATAGCTTTTAATACATAAAATAGACACTTCTCTTGCCAACTTTTCAAAATTATCAAATGTAATGCATACTGAGTATGAAATCAACTCTGGCTTTAGCTTCCAGGCTTAATCAAAAAATTTTTCCTAAGCAATTTTCAGGTTGTCCTAAACAACTAAATCCTGAGTCTTAGAGCTTGACCAAACTGTGCTGACTTTATGTGATTGCATTTTCAAGGTAGAGTGTTAGTCAGCTTTAGTGTCATTTGAATGAGTTACTGCCTTGGCTTCAACCTTGACTGCTCTTTCTCATTCTCTCAGCTGCTCCACCACCACCTTTTTTCCATACAATCAGTTCCCAAAGAATCTTACTTGTCCTTCTGCATGGCATTGACCCTCACTCATGTAAACTGTAAACAGGAATATAAATTAGAATATTATTTTAGAAGTCATTTTTGTTTATTATAAATTTTATTATCCATCCTCTCTGATACAGTGTTTCTACTTTTAGAAATCCAGTCTTCAAACACACTCTTTTGTGTACAGGATATATGTATGCATATGTTCATAGTAAATCAGAAAAATGCTTTTTCTTTTAAATCAGAAAAATATGTAAAAACTCATGTCCATCAAAAAGTTATTGGCTAAGTCAACCCGGAAACATACTTATAGTGAAATTCTATACGATCAGCTAGAGAATAGAACAGATGTACATTGAGTCTTTGAAAAGGTGTGCAAAATAAATTGCCAAGTAGGTGAATTCTTCCTGGAAGTAGAAGTATCGGAAAGGGAGCTTTTGCTTCCTGTTTTATATAATACCATATTATTGAATTTTATATATTTTTGTATTGCTTTTGTAATCTGAAGAAACAAATAGAGCTTTAAAAAGATTATTGTTATGTATCTCATTGCCTTTCAGCAACCCTATACATCAATTATTTCTTCTTCTGTCTCAAATTATTCCTATACTGCCTGGCTTAATAAAACCCTCTCTCTGCCCCAGCCATGTAATTTATGTCCCATATTCTTATCACAATAAACCTTCTTGAAAAGATAAATTACATTCTGCCTCATATTTACTTCTTTACACTCTGCTTCCTCCCCTCCAATTCCACTGACTTTTTTCTGTACAAGAAATGACTTCCTCATTGACACCTGCAGTCAATCCATTCCAATCATATTACTTGGTCTCTCAGTAGTGTTTGCCAATGTAAACCACTCTCTTCTTGAAATTTTGTGCATCTATCATGAATTTTCTTTTTTTCCTGGTCTTTCCCTATTTGCTAGGTTCTTATTTTTCTTACATCTCTTTAAATATTGTTTGTCTTCAAGCTTTCATCAGGTTTTGTCTTTCATTACTCCTTTTCTGAGAAATTCTATAGGTATCCACACTTTCTGATACTTTGAGTTGATGATAAACAAATGCATATCTTCACCTCAGTTCCCTTTTCTTCCCCTAAGTTAGACTCCTATTTCAGGCTCATATGGTCTCCTGCTCTCTCAGCTCAACATCTTGAAAACTGACTTCAACTTTCCATTACACTTCATTTCTTCCTACTGCACTAACAGGAGAAAAAATAATGAGCAGCAAGATTAGTAAGATGAAGAAGTAAATTGGAAAGTGGTTTGGTGGATAGAATTTGTTGAACTTAGTTATTCATAATGTGCAAGGAGCCCAGGAAAGGAAAACATATGTAATAGCTTCCAGTTTCTTATTAGAATGAATGAATTTTCCTTGAGTTCAAAATGTTTCTGTGGAAATTCCATGTGGAGATATACATGGGCAGGCCTATAGTTCTAGAAGTCAGAAAAACAGTTTAGACTAGAAATATAAACTTTGATTTCAATAGCATACGAAGCCACGTGGTTGGATGAAATCCTCTTCAGAAAGTAAAAATTTAAGGAGATCCAAAAAAAGAACAATATTTTAAATACTAGGGAGTATACAATTTGCAGGAGAAAGTGGCCAAAGTGATCACCTCAAAGATATCAGCAAATAGACTAAGAAGTAACTCTTGGGGTTTTTGTCATTGAAATAATATCAGAAATAGTTCTTATCCTACTTTTGAAAAATACAAATAATTTTCATTAAGACATTATATTATTTAAGATTGTCATATAGTGTTTTGCCTAAAATGTTATGCTCTGAACTTTTATTTTATTCTTACAGTTGATGATCAGATCTGAGATCTTAAATATTTGGAGAAGAAAGGGTAGAATAGAAGAAGATAAAAAGCTGATAAGGAGAACCGAAAGGTAAAGACAAACCTTGTCTACTACACTATTTAATATTAAATCAAAGGATGTGACTTAGGTCCCTATTTGTGCTAAAGTTTCCATGAAAACAATTCTATAACATAGCCACCAATAACAGATCTGCCCCTTACAATCACCTTGCAAATGCTTTCTTTTACATTTAGAGAATGAGCAAGGCATGTTGTAACCCAAGCCTAACATAGAACAGATATGAAATGAATATCTATTAAATTGAATTATATCATATTATAACACTTATAACAATATTTATGTTAAAAGTTTTAGCTTTAAATTGTATACAGAAGTAATCATTTTAGATCTACGTACCTGAATTTGACAATGTGCAGTGTGACAAATTCTTCCCTCAGTACAGATTTATAAAATGCATTTTTCACCTGTTCCAAAAATATTCAAACTATGTCAGAGAGAACAATTTTCTGAAATTCTGCAAGCTAATTTGAAGCTTAATTTTTTAATTAAAAAAAAAACAAAACAGAATACATTGACCAACATTTCACCATGTACTAAACTTGAGGAATCTTTCTAGTATTCCACTTAGTGATTTCCACTGAACTTTGCCTTGGGAATTACAAGAGCTAGGGAACCATCGTAGTGGGGTGGGGGGAGTGACATGTGCTATGCTACACTCGGAAAGAGATAAAAGAGAATAGACTGATTTTTGAAAAGTAAGAGTAAATATTCACATCCTGAGATATAGGCAAAAGTAAACAAGGGAAAGGAAATAATTCTGCCAATTAGTTGGGTTATAAAAACGAGTGCATGAGTGTCACATAATTTCCAAACCTGGTGGAAAAACATACAAATATATCTATTTTAATATATATGATATATTATATGTGTATATATACATATATATGATATAGGATATATTTAATATATATGATATATTATATGTATATATATATACATATATATGTAGATCTTATTCAGATATAACCCTGATTTGGTGTTTATAAAAATAAACACAACCAAGATTTGACCCTCTTCTTAGCAGGATATTCAAATCCTCAAGCTCCTAGTCTACCAGGGAGTTTCCAGGAGCGTCACTGCCATTCCATTTTTACTCAGAGTGTTGGAACTGGGAGACAATTTGGAAATTATCTAGCCTTAATGTTCTAATCTTCACATAAAGAAATTTGTCCAGAGTAAGTGGTGCACCAATAACATATCACTAGCTAGTGCATAGTATTGAAACTAGGTGTCCCAACTCTTAGTTTAGGGTGCTTTCCATCACATCATACCACTAATTACCTCACAAAATATCAGGAAAAGTCTAAATTATTCTCTAAGTAATCTGACAATGAAAAGTAATCACCCAAAAGGAAAGTCCTATCTGTGCATATACTTCCTATGGATGTCAGCCTACTAATGCTAACTAAAGATTTCATTCTTTTTGAACTTCGGCCAAGATTGAGGCATAGGTAGACACACTGTGCCTCCTCACACAACCAAAATTAAGGACAACAAAAATTTAGAAACAAAAAAGTGACCAGAACTGACAGAAAATTGAACTGTACAGAAGTCTCACAATCATTCATCCAAACCAGTAAGAGGGGTGAAGTTGGTGGCCTGTGGAGAGGGGTCAAGGCAGGAAAAAGTGATGACTGGTAGAGCCTGGGCTTGGGGTGGCAACAGGCAGACCCAGTGAGGCACTCAAGGTGGCTGGCTGACCTCGGTCATACATTCAAATGCAGAAAAACCAGACAAAAATGGGCAGTGAGACAGACTGTGCAACCCAGGGCCCCAGCACCAGGAAATAAAGCCTAAAAGCACCGATTGAAATAACCTATGGGGGTTGAGGTGCTAGGAGAGACTCCTAGCCTCACAGGAGAGTTTGTTGGAGAGACTCACAGGGTCCTAGAATGTACACAAGCCCACCCACCCAGTAACCAGCACCAGAAGGGCTCAGTTTTCCTTGTGGGAAGCAGCAGAAGGGACTGAAATCCAAGAGAGGGTGGAGTAAGCACCATTGTTCCCTCTCTGACTCTACCCTTACATACAGCATCACAACCCAGCAACTGAGTTGCTCTTCCCTGGTGAACACCTAAGGCTCCACCCCTCATAGGTAACAGGCACTACCAGACCCCCCCCCAAAAAAAAATGGCTGAAACAGAAGAACAGACCAAAGTCCCAGAGACAATATAAGTAAGCAACCAAGAGATAGCCAACCTATCAGATGCACGCACAGTTCAAAGCACTGGTGATCAGGACACTCACAGAACTGGTTGAATTTGGTTGAAATTAGATGAAAAAATGAAGGCTATGCCAGGTGAAATGAAGGAAAATGCACAGGGAACCAATAGTAATGGAAAGAAAATTGGGACTCAAATCAACGGAGTGGACCAGAATGAAGAAAGAAACAATCAAACAGAAAAGAATGAAGAAACAAGAATTCAAAAAAATGAGGACAGGCTTAGGAACCTCCAGCACATCTTTAAATGTTCCAACGTCTGAATTGTAGGGGTACCAGAAGGGGAAGAGGAAGAGCAACAAGTGGAAAACTTATTTGAACAAATAATGAAGGAGAACTTCCCCAATCTGGCAAAGAAAATAGACTTGCAGGAAGTCCAGGAAGCTCAGAGAGTTCCAAGAAGATGGACCCAAGGAGGAACACACCAAGGCACCTCATAATTACATTAGCCAAGATTAAAATGAAGGAGAGAATCCTAGAAGCAGCAAGAGCTAAGGGGACAGTTACCTACAAAGGAGTTCCCATCAAACTGTCAGCTGATTTCTCAAAAGAGACCTTACAGGCAAGAAGGGGCTGGAAAGAAGTATTCCAAGTCATGAAATCCAAAGACCTACATCCAAGATTGCTCTATGCAGCAAAGCTTTTATTTAGAATGGAAGGGCAAATAAAGTGCTTCTCAGATAAGGTCAAGTTAAAGGAGTTTATCATCACCAAGCCCTTATTATATGACATGTTAAAGGGCCTTATCTAAGAAAAAGAAGATAAAAAATATGAACAGTAAAAAGAAAAGTAATCACTTAAACCCATGTTCTTTTGGCTGATACTGCTTATTTTCCATTTTTTAAATATTTGGTACATCCCTCAGGATAGTTTTAATGTCTAAGGCTAGAATGAGTACCCACAGATTTCCTATAGACCTATGTACCAAAACCTGGCCCAAGGTTAAGTATTTTAGTATTTAAAAATACTCAAGTATAGTTATGAATAGTTTCAGTCTTGTGGTCTTTTGCTCAAGGTCTCTTCTTTAGGAAGTCAACCTTCACATTCCTAGAATTTATGGATTCTACTGGTTAAGGGCAAAGCCCTAGAGAAGAGAAGGTGAGTAGGAAAGCGTAAAGGAACTCAGGCCACTTGGCTCAGATCTGCACATCATATTCTCCAAAGTTAAGTATTGTTATTTTTATATTATATCTCTTAGGTAGGGGTCCTCTTCTCATTTTGAAAAGGTATGAAAGATCAGCTGAATAGGTGTCTTAGGAACAAGGGTAGTAAAAATTATGGTAAAAAAGTGATGGCCCTACAAATGGAGGACAAAATGCTTACCATTGATTCAATTCTCTGGCTCATTTCCGTGAAATTTTTAGAAGCCTCTTTTCCAAAATCATCATACAGTTTGTCACTTGTAAATGACAATGTACTATAGTAATTGTGGGTCCTCCTTTGATCTACATGGAGAGAAATAAAAAACCATCATACTTTTTATCAGATGCTTGTAAAACTCATCATTTTCCCATTTGGTGGTAGCTGGAAAGATTGAGACTGGAAAGAATGTCTCTCCTCAAATCTTCATCTCCATCATCCTGTGGTGAGCTTCATGATTATCTCAGAAGAAAAGACAACAATATTCATCATCATGAGACTTAGAGTATAAAAGTCTTAAGAAATACTTGGGGTTCCTGTGGGCTAATTAGTCATGTGTTATCAACACCTGAGTAAGCCACGGGAGGCAGCAAGTCACGCCATCTGCACATACACACAGGGATGGATTCAGAAACTTCCCAAGAGGTGATGCATTTTTATATTCCAAGAGTAGGTTTCTTCCAATTCACATCACTCCTGGCCAAAAGGACTCTAGCATAATAATATGTATTTTGACTAAAGAATGAGATAAGGGGAGGGCTTAAAATGCTAGGAGTTCAGTCTACAGAATGTTTAGGAAGCTAGAGCTGCCACCTGGCATAACCTTCCAGGGCACTGCTTAGTTTCACCTGGCTCCCTTGCCACTGTATTCATTTTTTCCTGACAGCCACAGGAATTGGCTGGTCTGCTTCCTTCGCCATTTTATCGACTTTCTGCATCTTGGTTAAGCAGGCCATATTTTGGGCTTCCTAAAGAATGAATGCAGCAAAGCTTTTCATCTACCCTCCTGTACATGAAGTAAGTACAGAGCCCTCAGAAGATTCATGAAACAAGTATTAATGCTGACTATCTTTTCTGTGAGAGGCCCTGTGCTAAACATTAGAAATACAATGGTGATCAAGACTGGTGTTGATGATTATTCCAGGAAAACGGAGTGTGCCTCACCTACTCTCAATCTCTCCTCTCTCTGTTGCTTCTCTTTCTTCATTTTCACCTAAACCCCAGAGGGGAAAAAAACTAGCATTGGACATCTGCATCCCAGAAATACTCACATATCTCATTTATTTATAATAACTCCCATGGGAATGCAGTATTATTCACACTTATCAGATAAGGGAAATAAATATTCAGTAAATTGCTTAACCCCAACATGGCATAGAGAGAAAAGACAGAACTGGGCTTTAACCCAAGGTCTAACTCCCAAAGCACAGATTTTCTTTATATGCTGCTTCTTGGGGTGGGAAAAAAAACAAATCTACTCATTAAAGCTATGAGAGAAATTTCTTATAATATACAAGTTATGAGAAAAAACTGCTGGTAAATTAAAAAACAAATGAACAAACAAAATATCCTGGCTATCCAAAGAGGAAAGCCACCAGTCATACCCTGAAAAGGTCTGGAGTGACACATAAAGAAGATGGCTGGCAGGCCAGAGAAACCGAAAGGCTGGGGTCTGCTGGGCATCAGCCACCAAACTGAGGTACTGATGAAGTTTCTCCTTCCTCACCTTCTTCCCCTGAATGGCCAGTGTGAGCTGAAATGCAGGCAGGTCCCTGCCAGGCAGGTCCCTGGCAATATACACAAATTAAGTAAGGTTTTCAATTTATTGAAATATTGACCAGTAGTTTAGGTCTAAAGTTGAGCCCAAGACAGCATTTCTAACAAGCTCACTGCCCAGCACCAGGCTGATGCTACCGGCACCTAATCACATGTTGAATATTAAGGTTCTAAAGAGGAAGAAAACAGGCTCTTCCAGATCCTTTGACCTGTTGGGGTTTTTTTTCTTTAATTATTAGATTGAATCATTTGAAATTGCCATTCATATAAGTCAGAAATGGTCAACTATCAGCAACTACATATACTTAAACCAAATGAACAACTTATCTGTAGCCAGTATTTTACTTTGCTCAAATGACTCGAACAGATCGCTAAGTGTCAATGCATATTTCCAGTTGTTAGAATTATATGGCACATGTAGTTACTGAAGAATATCATTGAAAATATTAACAGAAAAGTAAGAAAAATAGAGATAAACCTTGAGTTTTCCCACAGCTTTGGGATTCTATAACCTACAATGATGTCACTCAAAGAGAGTCACCCTCTGTCATTCAAATCACGGAGGGAACAAAGATGCAAATTCAAAGCCCCTGGACACAAATGGCACACAATTCCACACTGTCCTGGGCTTTATGCCAAAACAACATTTCTTTGAGTATGATCAATTCTATCTTTATTTGTCTGTCTCTGTAATAGATTTGTTTGGTTTAGTTTTGTTGTCTAGGGATGCCATCTCCTAAATACACATGTGCTATATACACTCTGTTTTTAGTTTACATTCCCCTAACCAGACAGCAGGTCACAATTATGACAGTACTCTACAGCACAACAATTGTTTATTCAGGTGTGCTGTGTAGGCAGTGAAAACTGTTCCATAGTACTCTGCTGATCATCCAAACAGTAGGATCCAGGAACAGGTTACTAGAAAAATCTTGCCAGGTTTTCATTGTATCCTATGAATAAGATTTTAAGGCTCATAAACACTTGGCTTCAGAAGAGACAAAGCAGAAGAAAGAAACATCTTCTCTCACTCAGGTATTGAGACCCCTAGCATTACTAGGAATTCCTTAGGAAGTCAGACAAGCCAAAGTACGCCCCTAGAAAATATCATAAGTATGATTAGCTCATTGTTTGTCATTCAGAATTCAATAAATATTAATTAAATTTCTAATATGTGGCAGGATCCTCTTAAATTCAAAAAATACAAAAGTGAATAAAACTTAGTCCTAGGCATCCATGGAGAATAATGATGCTTACAACATCATAGAACTCAATCTACTCATAACAGAATTATGGGATTGTAAAGTTATTTTAACTATTCTTTTATTAAAAACATGCTCCAGAAAAATTATCAAAATGCAGGTACTCCAAATTCAAATACTTGCCTGTGGACAAATTTACAAAAAAGACCCTTTACATTAAATATTTTCAAACTGCTTGTAGATGATCCATGTCACTTGGAAAATTAAGACTGAACTGTGTCTGTTAGCAGAAGATCAATTTCCATATCACCATAAAACCACTTCTGCAAATACCCAATTACATAATAATCAAGTGAGTACTCTTTAGTTACAGGGTTTTGAATATGAAAACATTACCTAATGAGTAAGGGTGATATCTCCCTATTGGGAGATGAACCAATAGGTCGTAGTGGAGTCAACTAATTAAAACCTGAGGCAGAGTACAAGGTAACTTCAGAAGGGTTGTCACAACCTCAAAGAACAGCTCTGAAGTACCCTAGGGGCCTTTCTAATAACACAAATGTGTTCATGTTTCATCTATCAGTGAAGCACCCAATTACTGCAGAGTGAACCTCTTTACAATTAACCTTCTCACCATATCCTATCCTCTTTAATCACTTGTCATACATCCCAAGATGAAATTTAAAATAACAGAAATAGGCACTTATTCAAAAATATATCATTGTGAGCATTTTCTCAACTTATCAGTATGGAGGAGAACCTACTTATTCTCTTATGGTCTCTAATTATTGGGCTGTCAGGATTTCAAAGAGTTAGAATTATTTTAAATCAAGGTGACTGCCCTATGACCTCAAACAACGCAAGACATTGGACTCTAGCTCTCTGATGGTCTTTCCCTAATTAAGACTAGATTATTAGTTATTAATGAGTTTGGAAATTAGCATGTTATTCCCAGCAGGAAATATTGCTTCATCAAAGATAGGAGAAATAATCTCCTTGGTTTGTGAGGATTAAACATGAAACAAAGCAGGTAGAGTGTTGTTTGTACTACCTATGTAAATAATAGTAATGAATGAATAAGCCTGAGGCTAACCAAAACAGGAAAGTACAAGAAGTACCTGGGGTAAATCACAGAATGCCAGGGAAGCCCATACTTACTGTATCTCACATAATGAACAATGAGTCCAATGCACACTGCCAGAACAATCAGGGAGATAAAGGTGATGAGGCCAATGACCCATGGTTTCACACAAGCTCTCTTTGTGGCCCTTGCCACAGAATGCCTGAGAAAGAAAGGAAATAGATTAATTATATCACAGTGTACACCATGCTCACTCTTAAGTAAAACAGGTATTTCTGTGGAAATCAGAACACTCAGTTAGATGGTAGAGTACTCTTTTGTTTAGAACATACCTTGGTTGCAAGTTGCAGAAGCTAGCCTGACTCTGGTTACCTGACTTTTGGCATATAGTTTGACTTCTCTGTACCTCAGTGTCCTTGTCCATAAAATAAGGGTGATAATAATAGTGCCTAGTCATAGCATTGTTGTAAGGATTAAATAAATTACTGCATCTGAAATGCCTACACAGTGCTTAGCACATAGAACATGTCATGTTGGTGTTGGCCATGGTTTACTGCGCTATGTGCAAGACACTGAGTTAGGCACTGTTGGAGCTATGGAAATGTTTAAAGCCTGTTTTGACCATCCTGGAATCTTAATCTATGAAATGTGTTACAGCTTAAACAATACCAGGTTCCAGATAGAGTTTCTAATTCAATCTCTTTCTATTTTTCTGATTTATTTCCAAACAAGTTTTAAGCATCTACATAAGAGATAACCAGAGGTCTGTTTTGAAAAAGCTGAATGTTTGAGCTAATATTTATCTCTAAACTTCAGTGATGCTGCAGGAAATCCTTTCTTCTTGAGACTCCATCAACCACTCCCATGTTTTCTGCCATCAAAAACGTGTTACTGAAAAAATGTTCATAAACCTGCTTTATGTTTAATTAGTGAAGTTGCTGTTTCCTTATGTTGTAATATTTGCTAAGCAAACTCAAAAACTAGAGAAAATGAAACAGTAAGTCAGTTGGCTAAAGAGTTGAATGTGATGCTATTTTTAGTTTCTTGAGGTGTTTACCATGCTGGTAGAATTAATGGCATGCACTTATACCTTCAGAGCAGTGTCTGGTACATGAGGACTAGGGGAAATGTGTGGTGTTATTTTGGAGGAGCACCGGGGGGTTGAATCAGAATAGAAAAAAAATACAAGTCCAGCTCTTTCCTTACCAGCTTGAACAAATCATTTAGACTGTGAGTTAAGTTTCTCCACCTGTCAATGAGGGACAGAATACTCCTTCTTTCTAAAGCATGTGGCTGACTGTGGGACCCAGAATGAGGTCATGAATGTGAAAATATGTTGCATTCAGAAATGAAGAGGTCTCTGTTTCCTGGTGATTTATGACCAAGAAGTGCTATTATCGGCTTGGTTCCTGTAACACCATTGTTACATCCTACCTCTGCTTCCATGTTTTGTTCTGTGCAAACATTGTTTTAGTAGAGAGTAATGCCATCATCACGACATGACTCTGCCTCTGCTGGAGGCACTGGGGTGTAGTAGAAGGCTCCCAGGACTCTACTTGGTCTCTTCCCTTGTTCCTGTGACTTTCCCATGAGGCTGTAGTCAAGGAAACTTCATCTTCCTCTCCCCAATCTCTTCCAACACTAGCTGTCCCCTGGGTGGAATTCTGAACACCTGTTCCTAAAATGACAATTACTGCAATATAAAAAGACCTCCACAGGAGGTTCTTTTTTATGTGCAAATGTGCCTAAGAAACCTAAACACTGACTCCCCTTTCTTTGTGTCTGAATGCTCGCTATTCGCCTGTTGCAGAAGAAAGGAGACGCATATGGCAGACGTGAGTAAAACCTGGGGGCAGGGAGGTGGACATGGGAAAGGAAGAGCTTCTCAACTAATATCAGAACATGCCAGATAAAAAATATAAATTTATAATTATAAGACACATGTAATTATTGGAAGTGTATGAGCACTATGTAGAGCTGTGAACTATGACAGAAGTTCAATTCTATAAGTTTTAATCAAGACAAAAAAGTAAAATAATGCAGCCATTACATTGATGAGGTAGAGCTACATGTGTTAACCTGCAAAAGTCAATGATACACTTTAATAAAAATTTGCAGAAGAATATGCATTCTGTGTTTAATTTTTGTAAACAAAACTACATATTTGTCTACATAGCAAAACAGAGACAAAATAACAGAAATAAGAAACTTTAATTTTAATGTATTTTTTGTTTTATCATGAATTTTCTCTAACAAAAAATTTCATAGCTTTTGAAATTAAACAAAAGAGAGAAAAAAGAGTTTGAATTTCAAAACAGCAAAAAATAACTACGATGATTATATGCCTTTTCATGGAATTTCTGTCACTATTGTGCCCAAAGTACCAGTGTGTCCTTCTCTCCTGACCCCCACCTGTTACAGCTGTTTCAGTGCTGGTCTTTGGTGACTTTGAGTGAGATAAGAGGGATAGCATGGGACAGAGAGAAAAGAGAAACTATCAAAAACACTTTGAATAAATAATTAAGAAAGTATGTTGCTGAGTCCCACCATCAACCTATTTCTTGTACAATCCTGTAGCAGCAGATTCAATTATCTTCTATTTTCTCCATATGAAAAACAGGGATAATAACTCCAGACTTCTCCTAACCTGATGAGCTATGTCCAGATAAAAAAAAAGATAAAATCTTGTAGTACTTTGAGCTCCCAAGTAGAAAATCATTGTACAAATAACAAGGAGTGTTATTATTATCATCGTTATTGTAGTTATTAATAATAAGAGTAATGACCATATTACTGAGATGTCTGTCATTTGAAACATTATCTCTTCTCTTCCCTTTTATTCTGTACAGAATAGCTTTTTAAACTGATTCACCCTGTTTCTTAATTTACTTTATTTGTTGCTTACTCAGTTAGTGATTCAATACTGAATTGCTCCAAATTAGATGTGTTAAAAGTGTGCTCAAAAAATCAGTAAAAGCAAGAAATAAAACCATTTTATATATCATCAGAAACATGTGATTAACCTCCTTCTGCACATAAGTTATTGTGCAATCATTACTGCGTGCTCTTGAAACTTATCTGAACCTCCTCCTATAAAATTACCTTCAGACAGACTGGTTGAATTCTAATAGTTTCAGTGGCATCAAATTACTTTCTTTTTATTATTTTTACTTTCTGTTTGGGGACATGTGTGATTAGAGAGTGAACATAGCAGGTGAATAAAGCAGTTAAAATGTGGGTACATTTTGATAAGCCCACAACGGCCAGAAGACAAGTAACATGACTAGAGTTGCAATATCATTGTTACTTTGTAATGTGTCATTATTAGAAGAGTACTGAAAAAGATAAGCTGCAAACAACAACAAAAAAGCAAGGAGAAAAAAGGTCATAACACAAATAACATAGCAAGCACTAGGGAATAAGAAGTCACAGTGCTTCCAAGGAAAGTTCACCGGAAAAGCCCCTTTCACAAGACCACCACCATGGACTCATTGATAGGGGATTGTGAGCATTTGCTTGCTCTCTGCAATGAGAAGCAGCAGTGATGTTCTTAGTTCACATGTTTCACCTGGTTGGTCCAGTTGAGCACAATGAACATGTGCATAGTATCTACAAAGCTGCTGGTGCCACAGCATTATTATCAACTACTGAACCCAGAGTTCAGCAAACTTTTCTGTGAAGGTCCAAAGAGTTACATTTAAGTCTTTCTGGGTCACACAGTCTCTGCTGCAGCTGCTCACCTCTGCCTTTGTAACACAGAAGCAGCCATAGACTAAAATACGTAAACAAATGAGCATATCTGTGCTCTAAGAAAACTTTATTTCTGTATTCTAAAATTTAAATCTCATAGTTTTCATTTGCTATGAAATATTTTCTTCTTTCAATTTGTTTTTAACCATTGAAAAGTACAAAATAATTCTTAGCTCAAGCACTGCACTAAAACAGATGGTAAGTAGAATTTGGCCTCTGGGACACAATTTCTGCCTGGTTGACTTAAGCAAGAGTTGATAAAGTGCTAATTGTGTTGGGAAGTTGTAATGGTCTTTTCATTTTCTACTTTCACTTTCAGAGCAAATCTATGTAGTTTATCCTAATCCCATTGCCACTGACCTCGTTTTAGCATTTCTCACTAAAGCTTGTCTCATGGCCTGACAACAGGTTTTTGTCCTGTCTACCCAGTCTCTGAATCATTCTCCACTAATTCAGTTATCTTTCTAGAAGTGATATAGTCAATGGTGAGACTGCTTGAAACCCAAGTTATCCTCAGGTGGGCTAGCATCTTCCTTCTACCCTGCAACTTTCCAGTTCTTTGCTTTTTCTCATCCTGCCCCCTCTGTGGAGTAGCTTAGGGTATATTCTTTTCTTCTTTTTTTTTTTGGATGTGCATATGTATACTTTATATAAAACAAGTTACCAAGGCCCATTCATACCCAAGTCCCTCCCCTTAGCTCCCTGTCCCCAGGATGGCCTATCTTGGTAGGTGCACCAATGCTGGAAAGTGCTGTGGTCTTTCTGGTTGTGCGTGTGTTTAGCTGAAAGGACTTTTTAAAAGTTAACTTTATTTTCATCAAAGTAATATATGCATATTTTCTAAAAGTGACATGTCACTATAGCACTTGAGTCTTTAGCAGTTGTTTAGTATTTACCTCAGTTTCTGAATAACATTTTCACATGGAGTCTATGCTTGCATTATAAAAGTTTATGTGCTTTTAGGAGCCAGTACCAAAAGTCCCTCTCATTTCGGTTAAGTTTATTCATCTTGAATACCACACCTAAGTATGCATTTTGGGCTCCTTGAATATGGGATATATAGAATACATTTCTGCACATTCAAGAAATATTCTCAGAGGGAATTGAACTGGTGTTGACTAAACCAAATTGAACAAACTATTTGTCAGTACCACAATATGGGTTCTGATCTCTCTTAAAGCACTTCTGGTTTGTCATAGTCTTAGAAAAGAACTTGGAATATGGCACACAAAGGTCAGACATTGTAAAGAAAAATTACTATTTAAGAAGTTTAATATCAGGAGTAAAAGACAAAACTGTACTCGAACAACAATTAAAATAAAATTTAAAACAAAAAAGAAGCTTAATATCCATAAAACACTTTATATAATAATCAAATTTTGGTCAATATTTCTATTTTATCTGTGTTTAAAATACATGATTTTCCAACTGTGATTTGATGTACCAGCTGTA